GGGTAACAGTCAAATCGCGATATCCCATCCCCCGCGCCGGCGAACTGATCGACCAACTGCGAACAGCTAGGTTTTGATTTTCGAAAATCGACTTACGTGGTGGTTACCACCAGATCCGAGTCGAACTGACAGAATGCGCCAAGACAACTTTTAGAACCAGGTGCAAATCCTTCGAGTACACATTAATGCCATTCGGGCTGACCAATGTGCCCGCAACTTTTCAGATGACCATGAACGAGGCGTTTAGACCACTCTTAGACAAGTGCGTCATTGTGTACAACAACGACATTTAAGTTAACAGCCGGGATCAATTTCAAATTATAGACGAGCATCGGCTACTGACGAAGGGTTCAAAGTGCGAAAATTTTCAAGACTGGTTAGAGTTTCTGGGGTACGTCATTTCGGAAGCTGGGGTTGAAATAGACCCGAAAAAACTGGATACTATCAAAGCGTGCCACCCCCGACCAACATCACAGAGCTGCAGAGTTTCTTGGGGTTTGTTAATATGTCCGTCGGTTCGTCCCCGACATGGCACAGCTAATGAGCCCACTAACGGATTTACTACGGAAGGGGGTCACTTCTACGTGGGGGGAGAAAGAGCATGCTGCCTTCTCTGCCCTAAAAACTGTTCTCTGTTCACCACCCGTACTGCACATCGCCGACCCATACTCAACCGAAGAAACATCCCGCCTCTTCATCGCCACCGTTGTTCGTCTGCACGGAATACCGACGGCGATCATCAGCTACCGCGATATGAAATTCACCAGCAACTTATGGAGAAACATGTGGTAGGAGTTCGGCACGCGACTACAGTTCAGCTCATCGTACCACCCCGAAACCGACGGTCAAACTGACCGGACCAATCAAACCATGAAGCAATCAATCCAAGCCACGTGCGAGGACCCGTCAACATGGGAGTAGCAGCTACCACTCATCGAATTCGCATACAATAGCTCCACGTTAGCCACAACGCAATAGTCGCCCTTCTACCTCAACTACAAACAGAACCCCATGACCCCAAACCCCGACAACCCAGTCCCACGCGCTCAACAGTTCGCCAAAATTTTACAAGCCGCCCGGACCCGAGCAGCCTATGCCATAAAAAAATCAAATATAATCGCTGAACGCAATTCCGACTGCCATCGCCGCCCTGTCACTTACCGGCACGACGACCTTGTTTTACTCGACACACAGAAACTTCGCTTGCCCGTTACTCTGAAGCTACGCCGACGATATTGCGGGCCATTTCGCATAAGCCACATGATAACACCCGTCACCGCCCCTCTTACCTGCTGAATGGTATGTCAGTTTGTTATTCCACGTCAGCCTCCTCTGCCCATACGTTCCGTCAACGAGTCGACTGCCGCGCAACCGCCCATCCAGCATCACACGACCACTAACAGAGCCCATCATTACACCTGAAAATTCCTGAGCCACCGAGTTCGTGACCCACGTGGAGATCGCTAGATCGAGTTCCTGATTAGCTGAAAAGACCGCACGCCCACCGAAGACAGTTGGGTGCCCCTGGATAAAATCGAGTATATGCGCAGGCACAATTTCTAGGATGACACGCACTCTCGTAAGGAGGGGCCTCCTTGGGGAGGGGGTCGTGTAAGAAAAAATCATTTTCCGTACTTCGTGCCCCTGCTTATCGCGTACACAACTGTTCCCGCCAACAGTGGACCGTTACCATTCGCGCCACTCGCCTCGACCACTGTTCCAGCCGCTGTTCACATCGCGACCCAACCTCATGGCTCGGTTGGTAACCCACGCTCTGGTCCTCCGATGGCGCTGCGGCAGCTCTCGCTGCGTGCCAATCATTGTTATTGCTCTCACATGATTACGGGCATGTGCGGTGAGAAACAGTTCTCAACCAGGGCCTATTATTCGTTTAGAGCACTCTGAGGCATCGGAATTGGTGTATAGCGTAGGCATGAATTTCAGAGATGGTGTGTTGGAAAAGTCTGTTAATCTCATAGTCTAAAAAGTATGACACATTAGACTACGTCCTTGGCCACATGTTTCAGCACTGGTTTAAAAAGCACTCTTAAATATGTAGGGTACAACGAAGACCTGGATTTAAGACAGTTCGTCAAGAGTCTGAGTCTGAATAGTCATCACCACCCTCCCCACCACTAGACCCTCCCCCCCCCCCCCCCCCCCCCCCTCCCCCCCCCCCCTCTCAGACCCACCCTTGTCCGAGCTTAAGTCAACAACCTTCTCCTTGCCCTTCTTGCTCGTCACATGCACCCTGGGTGTTACTTGCGAGGTGCGGGGCTTGCGCTTCTTGTCTTCTTGTCTTGCCTCCAGATCTTCACTACAGCGTCCCAATCAGGCTCGTACTCCATGATCGACATGCTCATGAGGTCGCTCAACATTGCATTCCCAAGGTTGCCTCGGTTCCAGCTTTTTTATGACGTTCTGCCTACTGAAGCCCCGTTTGCATTCGACGGTGCTCAAAGGAAGCACCGCCATTGCAACCTACAGGTTAACCAAGTTTGGGTAGCTCCGTGTCTAGTCGCTGGACTTGAGGATAGACTTGAGGGCTTAATGAAACGACCTCTCCCCCTTCGGCATCGCGTACATGACCGGCACAAAAATGTGATGCTCCTTTTGCGCCGCCCGAGTGTCCACTCCAGCACAGGGATGCACCAAATGGAGATGTGTGGGATGTGAGACGACGTCCGTTTAGTTGTATCTTAACATCAACGGTTGATGTTCAGTGAACAGCGTACAACAACAACATGCTTTCGTTTCACGTACCTAGAAGGCAATCACACCTACCACCGCCGCGGAACAACTCAAAAAGCGCGTGTAGCCACTCCAAGCACTGGCTCATCCTCTCACCTTTCGACAGTGGGTACGCTTCCGGAGTGAAGATGCGCGCTCCACTCGGCTTGTCGAGATCTCCCAGGCAGTAATCCAGGTGATATACGAGTATGGGCAAACTGCCCGCACACACTGATACAGTTGTTGTGGTCGCCTTCGATGGTGACATCGCGATCGTCTCGGTGCTTGTCAAGGAAGGTAGATAGCAGCGGCAAAAATCCCCCTCCGAACTCCTCACCAGATTTGATGTAGCGCTGTTTGATGTACACCAGCGTCCGCCGGACCACGCCTTGCACGACGGTAAGGCCAATCTACGAAGGAAGGGGTGCTTTGTCGTTTAAAGACGTACACACGATTTTGGCAGACAATCTAAATAAATACGGTAAACAACCTCGCGACGTTACAAGGCGAGGTTGAGCCTGTTGAAAAGATCAAGCATGTCTGCTATAAAGTACAGAAACACATGAAACTTGTAGGAGGTGACAAGCTTGTACATCTCCTCGTCGAACTCCATCAGCAGCAGCACAACGGCAGGCAGGACCACAACAAGCCATCAAATCGCTGCCCCACGAGGCATCGAGCAGACATGGAAGATGCCTTGAAGCTCCATATTAGTTTCCGTAAATACCTCCTGCAGCTCACAAAAATTGTTGTGCCAGTTGCTTGATCTCCCGAGCTCCTGAGCCTGAGAACGGATAACTGTGTCAATGATGCAAAACGTAGGGGTGTCTGTGCCGCATCCCTTGTAGCAAGGGCCTCCCTGTGCTTGGGGGATAAAAACTGATCAATGGTTAGTCTAAATCCATGGAACATGTGACTGAAATCCAATGCAGACTTTTTACTTGTGCGCGATGCAGTGAGATGAGACAAGGTGAGGCGCATGTCATCGGATGCGAGGCACCAACCCGTTTGTCCCCCCAAGCATGTTAGACGCCCCGTCGGTGCTCATTCCAGAAAACCGCCACAACAGTATGCCAATGGAAGACAGGTGTGCTTTAATATTTGCAAACAGGGAGGCTGAGTCATACTTCGTCACCGTTAGTAAGGCAAGAAACTTAGTCACGACTTGATTGTCCCGGATGAAAGTGATGAACAAGATCTTGTGTTTGCCCCTTGTTTTGTCTGTGCTTTCATCACAGGTGAGGCCGAGGTAAGGGCTTGATTTGGTGTGATCCATCCGAGTCACATGGAGCCACTGAGCCATCGCGCGAGCGAGTTGCGGCACCTGCATGTTAGAATGAAACCGTGAGACCGTTGTCAAACAAGCAAGATAAGGTACCGAACAAGATGTTAGAATATGAAACGTCTCTTCTTACGTTGAATAGTAGGTGCCGTAACCCTTGCTCGAGAAGCCCGAGCATTTTCGTATAGCCAAGAACTGCACGAGCTTGACCAAGTCTCGATCCGCGCGTCGAATTTGCAGATGAAGTGCAGGACCCAGAGCAGGGAGATGAAATGCCCCTTCTCCACATCGGTCACTTGAGAGAAGTCGCAGATGCGCTTCTGTTTCTTCACCTCCCCCAGAGCTTTCTGCTGCCTCTCGATTCCCTCCTTGTGCTTGTCGCGGCGAGCGTGCTTTTGGATTGTTTGCACCTGCACGTCAATGGCACATTCGCCCTCAATCCTGTATTTCGTCCCCTTGATACCGTAATCGATACAAACACTGCACCTAAGAGAAGGGGGGTCTTTTTTAGTACGACATAGCATGAGCCATGAAAGTCGTTCTTTCTATTCACCGTTACACTGGCGCGCCGCCTCGAAGTAAAGCATATCCGCTTATGAAATCTCCTCAGCGACCTCGCTTGACCCTAGCTGCCCGTTTGTTGGACGTGGCGACGGTGAGTGGGCGGTAGGTGGGATGGGTTTCCGAATGGATGAAGGCCGGTGCTTGGTCTGGAAGACAGATCCGGGGGTTGACACCTGCGCGGTTGTAGGAGGAACAACAGTGGTGGCAACACGAGGGCGGACACTGGGACAAGCAAGGACAGGGATGAAGAGCCGTCAGTAAGTGTGAATCTGAGAAGGGCCTGCTTGTAAGTACCAAACCCTTTTCGAGGAGCGGCATCTCCCCTGCCAGGTTGGACTTCTGGCAGCAGACGCAACGGAACAGTTTGAGAGGCGGGCGACAGGCGAGCTTGGATGCTCTGCATTAGAGGTGAAGAGAGGCGTTTCTAGGCGAGTGGAAGGTGTGGACGGCATCTATGAGGGCAAGGGAAAGTCGAGGCCAGATTGATTAGGTACGGAGATACTCTCCGCGTGCTGTGCGACGATGATGGGTACTCGTCCACCTCCTCTGCCATGGCGGCATGAATGGCGAGTGGGTCCACTGCATAGGGGAGAAAAGCTACAACATCAGGGGAAAGAATGGCAAACAACTGAAAATAAACCTGGCAACATGGGATGGCGAAGAGAGTGTGGGAGAAGATGGGGTGTTTGGGTGGAGTCACACAAAACAGCCACAGCGCGGCGCATTCACCCGAATCAGTGCATGTGACCTACAGTCGTAACAGCATTATGCTTATACAGAGGGATCCGGTTGGAATATGTGTTGGAAAAAAAACCCTTGGTTGACAGAGTGTTGTTTTGTTTACTTAGGCTGTAGTGGGTTTATCCTTAGGGGGTACAACACTTCCCTTTACTTTGTACTTGTACCCCCCCCTTTGACGTAATCCACATCATTCCTGTTTCGTATTCTGACATGGTTTCAGAGTAGGTTCCGTTCCTGCCCGAAGTCTTCTGCCCTACCCAGTACACTATCGCGCTGCTGCCCTGCCCTGCCCTGCCCCGCACGGTCGCGCTGCCCCGCAAGCACTGCTCCGCACGCGCTGCCCCACACGCACTGCCCCGCACGCGCTGCCCTGCTCGCCACGCGCGTGCCCTGCCCTGCCCAGCGCTTTCGCGCTGCCCTGCCCTGCCCTGCCGCGCGCTTCCCTGCTGCCGCACGTGCTGCACTGCTGCCCGTGCTGCCCTGCTCGCCGCGCGCTGCCCTGCTCGCCGCCGGCGTGCCCTGCCCTGCTGCCCGCGCTGCCCTGCTCGCCGCGGGCGTGTCCTGCCCTGCCCTGCGCTGCCCCGCCGCGCACTGCCCTGCTCGCCGCGCGCTGCCTTGCTCGCCACGCGCTGCCCTGCTCGCCGTGCGCTGCCCTGCTCGCCGTGCGCTGCCCTGCTCGCCGACGGCGCGCACTGCCCTACCCCGCTGCCCAGCGCCTGCGCGCGCCCTGCTGCCCCGTAACCGTGCGTGCCTTGCTGCCCAGCGCCAGCGCGTGCCCTGCTGCCCAGCGCCAGCGCGCGCCCCGCTGCCCAGCGCCCACGCGTGCCCCGCTGCACAGCGCCAGCGCGTGCCCTGCTGCCCAGCGCCAGCGCGAACCTTGCAGCCCAGCGCCAGCGCACGCCCCGCTGCCCAGCGCCCGCGCGTGTCCCGCTGCCCAGCGCCCGTGCGCGCCCCACTGCCCAGCGCCAGCGCGCGCCCCGCTGCCCTGCGTCAACACGCGCCCCTCTGCCTAGCGCCCGCGTGCGCCCCGCTGGCCTGTGCCTGTGCGCGCCCCGCTGCCCAGCGCCCGCGCGCCCCTGCCCGCGCGCAAGTGCCGCCTGCTGTTGCCGCCCTAGGTGATGCTGCCCTAGGAGTTACCGCCTGCTGCTGCCCTAGGTGCTGCCGACTGCTGCTGCTGCCCTAGGTGCTGCCGCCCTAGGTGCTACCGCCTGCTGCTGCCGCCCTAGGTGCTGCCGCCTGCTGCCGCCCTAGGTGCTACCGCCTACTGCTGCCGCCCTAGGTGCTGCTGCTGGCGCCCTAGGTGCTGCCGCCTGCCGCCTGTGCTACTGCTGCTGCTGCTAAGCCGCAGCTGCTGCGACTAGCTGCCACTGCCTGCCATGGCCACTACCACTGTTCTACGTCAGCGGCAGCCAAGTGTGCAGGAGTCTCTCTCGCCGCAGCAGCTTCGCGAGTGGGCTATCTGGTGGAGCAGCCCCGGTGGCGGGGCTAGCCGTGCTAGAGCTGGAGGAGCTGGTGCTGGCGGTACTCGTACTCGTCGGCAGGAGACGCTCTAGTCGCAGCAGCTTCGCTAGAGGGCTGTCCGGTGGGGCAGTCCTGGTGGCGGAGCCTGGGGTGCTACTACTGGAGGTACCTGTGAGTCTACTCTGCTGGTAGTGCCGCTGGTAGACGCTGGTGCTACAACAACAACGACGACGACGACGACCACGACCACGACGACGACGACCACGACGACCACGACGACGACGTCGATGGCGACGACGACGAGGACGACGACCACAACAACAAAACAAACAAAGAAACAAACAAAAAACATAGGAAAAACTTTGTGAAAATATTTGGGAATTTAGGTACATTATTCTGACGCTTCAGAGGAAACATTTCATGATGCGCCAATGCCGATACCATATCCCACCCTACTGTCATCAATCTGCTACAGAATTGCTGCCAATAACCACATCTCTGGCTTCCCAAAGTGGCAAACGCTGACTCCCATGATCCCATCACACAGGTGCCACTCCAGGCACTCTCCCAATCCTCTCCAGCGCCTCTCTAGGGCATCTGCAGAGGCTCTTCTCTCCACGGGGCTGGTCTCTGTAGAGGCTCTCGGCACAGCAGTGGCTCAGGAAAGGGCTCTGCAGCAGAAAACACGATAGACAAGAGGGAAGAAAGGAGGGGGAGAGGAGAGAGAGTGTTCGCAAGGGATCTCAGCACAGCAGTGGCTCAGGGAAGGGCTCTGCAGCAGACAACAAGATAGACAAGAGGGAAGAAAGGAGGGGGAGAGGAGAGAGAGAGAGAGAGAGAGAGAGAGAGAGAGAGAGAGAGAGAGAGAGAGAGAGGGAGAGAGAGAGAGAGAGAGAGAGAGAGAGAGAGAGAGAGAGAGAGAGAGAGGGTTGAGAGGAGGGGGAGAGGAAAGAGAGGCTTTGCAAGGGTTCCCAACATAGCAGCGGCAGTGGAGGGGCTCCGCAGTAGGTAAGGCGAGAACCGATGACTAGGACAGGAACATGGCGGGAAGGAATGGGAGAGCGTGGGGGAGGACAGGACAGGAGGGAGGAAGGGACGTGGAAAGGCATATGGAGGAGGGGGGAAGAGGAAGATAATCAGGGACGAGAGGGGAAGAGAGGGTGAGAGGGGGAGGAGAGAGGGTGAGGGAGATACAGAGTGGAGAAGAGGGATGGCTATTGGGATGGGAGGCATTGGCTGAAGTCAATTCGGAGGCGGGAGAGATGGCTATTGGGGGGCTTACAGGTGGGAGAGGAGGCTACTGGGGCTGGCAACTACTGTAGATGACACGGTAGCCCTGGGCGCACTGGCAGACAGGGCACCTCGTTGGTGTCGTTCTTTGAGATGAGACGTCTCATCATGGACTTACAGGGGCAGTTCTTGGGCTGGCAACTGCTGTACACGACACGGTAGCCCTTTACTTACAGGGGGAGTTCTGAAGCTTGGGCTGGCAACCAGCGTATACAACTTGGTAGCCCTTGTCGCACTCGCACGCCACCCCAAAGAATCCATCCTTCGCCCTCACGCACTTGGAGTTTGCCGGGCACGTGACCCAGCTGCACGTGTTGGCTGGATGATAGAGCATGGAGGGAGAGGCATGGGGTGGGGAAAGGCATGGGGGGAGAGGCATGGGGGGAGAGGCATGGGGGGTGAGGCATGGGGGGAGAGGGATGGGGGGAGAAGCATGAGGGGAGAGGGATGGGGGGAGAGGCATGGGGGGAGGCATGGGGGGAGAGGCATGAGGGGAGAGGCATGAGGGGAGAGGCATGAGGGGAGAGGCATGGGGGGAGAGGCATGGGGGGAGAGGCATGAGGGGAGAGGCATGGGGTGAGAGGAGAGGCATGGGGGGAGTGGCATGGGGGGAGAGGCATGGGGGGAGTGGCATGGGGGGAGAGGCATGGGGGGAGAGGCATGGGGGGAGAGGCATGGGGGGAGAGGCATGGGGGGAGAGGCATGGGGGGAGAGGCATGGGGGGAGAGGCATGGGGGGAGAGGCATGGGGGGAGAGGCATGAGGGGAGAGGCATGAGGGGAGAGGGATGGGGGGAGAGGGATGGGGGGAGAGGGATGGGGGGAGAGGGATGGGGGGAGTGGCATGGGGGGAGAGGCATGGGGGGAGAGGCACAGGGGGAGAGGCACAGGGGGAGAGGCACAGGGGGAGAGGCACAGGGGGAGAGGCACAGGGGGAGAGGCACAGGGGGAGAGGCACAGGGGGAGAGGCACAGGGGGAGAGGCACAGGGGTGGAGGCACAGGGGTGGAGGCACAGGGGTGGAGGCACAGGGGTGGAGGCACAGGGGTGGAGGCACAGGGGTGGAGGCACAGGGGTGGAGGCACAGGGGTGGAGGCACAGGGGTGGAGGCACAGGGGTGGAGGCACAGGGGTGGAGGCACAGGGGTGGAGGCACAGGGGTGGAGGCACAGGGGTGGAGGCACAGGGGTGGAGGCACAGGGGTGGAGGCACAGGGGTGGAGGCACAGGGGTGGAGGCACAGGGGTGGAGGCACAGGGGTGGAGGCACAGGGGTGGAGGCACAGGGGTGGAGGCACAGGGGTGGAGGCACAGGGGTGGAGGCACAGGGGTGGAGGCACAGGGGTGGAGGCACAGGGGTGGAGGCACAGGGGTGGAGGCACAGGGGTGGAGGCACAGGGGTGGAGGCACAGGGGGAGAGGCACAGGGGGAGAGGCACAGGGGTGGAGGCACAGGGGGAGAGGCACAGGGGAGAGGCACAGGGGGAGAGGCACAGGGGGAGAGGCACAGGGGTGGAGGCACAGGGGGAGAGGCACAGGGGGAGAGGCACAGGGGGAGAGGCACAGGGGTGGAGGCACAGGGGGAGAGGCACAGGGGGAGAGGCACAGGGGGAGAGGCACAGGGGGAGAGGCACAGGGGGAGAGGCACAGGGGGAGAGGCACAGGGGGAGAGGCACAGGGGTGGAGGCACAGGGGGAGAGGCACAGGGGGAGAGGCACAGGGGGAGAGGCACAGGGGTGGAGGCACAGGGGGAGAGGCACAGGGGAGAGGCACAGGGGGAGAGGCACAGGGGGAGAGGCACAGGGGGAGAGGCACAGGGGGAGAGGCACAGGGGGAGAGGCACAGGGGGAGAGGCACAGGGGGAGAGGCACAGGGGGAGAGGCACAGGGGGAGAGGCACAGGGGGAGAGGCACAGGGGTGAGAGGCACAGGGGGAGAGGCACAGGGGGAGAGGCACAGGGGGAGAGGCACAGGGGGAGAGGCACAGGGGGAGAGGCACAGGGGAGAGGCACAGGGGGAGAGGCACAGGGGGAGAGGCACAGGGGGAGAGGCACAGGGGGAGAGGCACAGGGGGAGAGGCACAGGGGGAGAGGCACAGGGGGGAGAGGCACAGGGGGAGAGGCACAGGGGGAGAGGCACAGGGGGAGAGGCACAGGGGGAGAGGCACAGGGGGAGAGGCACAGGGGGAGAGGCACAGGGGGAGAGGCACCAGGGGGAGAGGCACAGGGGGAGAGGCACAGGGGGAGAGGCACAGGGGAGAGGCACAGGGGGAGAGCACAGGGGGAGAGGCACAGGGGGAGAGGCACAGGGGGAGAGGCACAGGGGGAGAGGCACAGGGGGAGAGGCACAGGGGGAGAGGCACAGGGGGAGAGGCACAGGGGGAGAGGCACAGGGGGAGAGGCACAGGGGGAGAGGCACAGGGGGAGAGGCACAGGGGGAGAGGCACAGGGGGAGAGGCACAGGGGAGAGGCACAGGGGGAGAGGCACAGGGGGAGAGGCACAGGGGGAGAGGCACAGGGGGAGAGGCACAGGGGGAGAGGCACAGGGGGAGAGGCACAGGGGGAGAGGCACAGGGGGAGAGGCACAGGGGGAGAGGCACAGGGGGGAGAGGCACAGGGGGAGAGGCACAGGGGGAGAGGCACAGGGGAGAGGCACAGGGGGAGAGGCACAGGGGGAGAGGCCACAGGGGGAGAGGCACAGGGGGAGAGGCACAGGGGGAGAGGCACAGGGGGAGAGGCACAGGGGGAGAGGCACAGGGGGAGAGGCACAGGGGGAGAGGCACAGGGGGAGAGGCACAGGGGGAGAGGCCACAGGGGGAGAGGCACAGGGGGAGAGGCACAGGGGGAGAGGCACAGGGGGAGAGGCACAGGGGGAGAGGCACAGGGGGAGAGGCACAGGGGGAGAGGCACAGGGGGAGAGGCACAGGGGGAGAGGCACAGGGGGAGAGGCACAGGGGGAGAGGCACAGGGGGAGAGGCACAGGGGGAGAGGCACAGGGGGAGAGGCACAGGGGGAGAGGCACAGGGGGAGAGGCACAGGGGGAGAGGCACAGGGGGAGAGGCACAGGGGGAGAGGCACAGGGGGAGAGGCACAGGGGGAGAGGCACAGGGGAGAGGCACAGGGGGAGAGGCACAGGGGGAGAGGCACAGGGGGAGAGGCACAGGGGGAGAGGCACAGGGGGAGAGGCACAGGGGGAGAGGCACAGGGGGAGAGGCACAGGGGGAGAGGCACAGGGGGAGAGGCACAGGGGGAGAGGCACAGGGGGAGAGGCACAGGGGGAGAGGCACAGGGGGAGAGGCACAGGGGGAGAGGCACAGGGGGAGAGGCACAGGGGGAGAGGCACAGGGGGAGAGGCACAGGGGGAGAGGCACAGGGGGAGAGGCACAGGGGGAGAGGCACAGGGGGAGAGGCACAGGGGGAGAGGCACAGGGGGAGAGGCACAGGGGGAGAGGCACAGGGGGAGAGGCACAGGGGGAGAGGCACAGGGGGAGAGGCACAGGGGGAGAGGCACAGGGGGAGAGGCACAGGGGGAGAGGCACAGGGGGAGAGGCACAGGGGGAGAGGCACAGGGGGAGAGGCACAGGGGGAGAGGCACAGGGGGAGAGGCACAGGGGGAGAGGCACAGGGGGAGAGGCACAGGGGGAGAGGCACAGGGGGAGAGGCACAGGGGGAGAGGCACAGGGGGAGAGGCACAGGGGGAGAGGCACAGGGGGAGAGGCACAGGGGGAGAGGCACAGGGGGAGAGGCACAGGGGGAGAGGCACAGGGGGAGAGGCACAGGGGGAGAGGCACAGGGGGAGAGGCACAGGGGGAGAGGCACAGGGGGAGAGGCACAGGGGGAGAGGCACAGGGGGAGAGGCACAGGGGGAGAGGCACAGGGGGAGAGGCACAGGGGGAGAGGCACAGGGGGAGAGGCACAGGGGGAGAGGCACAGGGGGAGAGGCACAGGGGGAGAGGCACAGGGGGAGAGGCACAGGGGGAGAGGCACAGGGGGAGAGGCACAGGGGGAGAGGCACAGGGGGAGAGGCACAGGGGGAGAGGCACAGGGGGAGAGGCACAGGGGGAGAGGCACAGGGGGAGAGGCACAGGGGGAGAGGCACAGGGGGAGAGGCACAGGGGGAGAGGCACAGGGGGAGAGGCACAGGGGGAGAGGCACAGGGGGAGAGGCACAGGGGAGAGGCACAGGGGGAGAGGCACAGGGGGAGAGGCACAGGGGGAGAGGCACAGGGGGAGAGGCACAGGGGAGAGGCACAGGGGGAGAGGCACAGGGGGAGAGGCACAGGGGGAGAGGCACAGGGGGAGAGGCACAGGGGGAGAGGCACAGGGGGAGAGGCACAGGGGGAGAGGCACAGGGGGAGAGGCACAGGGGGAGAGGCACAGGGGGAGAGGCACAGGGGAGAGGCACAGGGGGAGAGGCACAGGGGGAGAGGCACAGGGGGAGAGGCACAGGGGGAGAGGCACAGGGGGAGAGGCACAGGGGGAGAGGCACAGGGGGAGAGGCACAGGGGGAGAGGCACAGGGGGAGAGGCACAGGGGGAGAGGCACAGGGGGAGAGGCACAGGGGGAGAGGCACAGGGGGAGAGGCACAGGGGGAGAGGCACAGGGGGAGAGGCACAGGGGGAGAGGCACAGGGGGAGAGCACAGGGGGAGAGGCACAGGGGGAGAGGCACAGGGGGAGAGGCACAGGGGGAGAGGCACAGGGGGAGAGGCACAGGGGGAGAGGCACAGGGGGAGAGGCACAGGGGGAGAGGCACAGGGGGAGAGGCACAGGGGGAGAGGCCACAGGGGGAGAGGCACAGGGGGAGAGGCACAGGGGGAGAGGCACAGGGGGAGAGGCACAGGGGGAGAGGCACAGGGGAGAGGCACAGGGGGAGAGGCACAGGGGGAGAGGCACAGGGGGAGAGGCACAGGGGGAGAGGCACAGGGGGAGAGGCACAGGGGGAGAGGCACAGGGGGAGAGGCACAGGGGGAGAGGCACAGGGGGAGAGGCACAGGGGGGAGAGGCACAGGGGGGAGCGAGGCACAGGGGGAGAGGCACAGGGGGAGAGGCACAGGGGGAGAGGCACAGGGGGAGAGGCACAGGGGGAGAGGCACAGGGGGAGAGGCACAGGGGGAGAGGCACAGGGGGAGAGGCACAGGGGGAGAGGCACAGGGGGAGAGGCACAGGGGGAGAGGCACAGGGGGAGAGGCACAGGGGGAGAGGCACAGGGGGAGAGGCACAGGGGAGAGGCACAGGGGGAGAGGCACAGGGGGAGAGGCACAGGGGGAGAGGCACAGGGGGAGAGGCACAGGGGGAGAGGCACAGGGGGAGAGGCACAGGGGAGAGGCACAGGGGGAGAGGCACAGGGGGAGAGGCACAGGGGGAGAGGCACAGGGGGAGAGGCACAGGGGGAGAGGCACAGGGGGAGAGGCACAGGGGGAGAGGCACAGGGGGAGAGGCACAGGGGGAGAGGCACAGGGGGAGAGGCACAGGGGGAGAGGCACAGGGGGAGAGGCACAGGGGGAGAGGCACAGGGGGAGAGGCACAGGGGAGAGGCACAGGGGGAGAGGCACAGGGGGAGAGGCACAGGGGAGAGGCACAGGGGGAGAGGCACAGGGGGAGAGGCACAGGGGGAGAGGCACAGGGGGAGAGGCACAGGGGGAGAGGCACAGGGGGAGAGGCACAGGGGGAGAGGCACAGGGGGAGAGGCACAGGGGGAGAGGCACAGGGGGAGAGGCACACAGGGGGAGAGGCACAGGGGGAGAGGCACAGGGGGAGAGGCACAGGGGGAGAGGCACAGGGGGAGAGGCACAGGGGGAGAGGCACAGGGTGGAGAGGCACAGGGGGAGAGGCACAGGGGGGAGAGGCCACAAGGGGGAGAGGCACAGGGGGAGAGGCACAGGGGGAGAGGCACAGGGGGAGAGGCACAGGGGGAGAGGCACAGGGGGAGAGGCCCAGGGGGAGAGGCACAGGGGAGAGGCACAGGGGGAGAGGCACAGGGGGAGAGGCACAGGGGGAGAGGCACAGGGGAGAGCACTCTGTGTTTGACAGGAGGCCACCAGGGGGGAGAGGCACAGGGGGAGAGGCACAGGGGGAGAGGCACAGGGGGAGATGCACAGGGGGAGAGGCACAGGGGGAGAGGCACAGGGGGAGAGGCACAGGGGGAGAGGCACAGGGGGAGAGGCACAGGGGGAGAGGCACAGGGGGAGAGGCACAGGGGGAGAGGCACAGGGGGAGAGGCACAGGGGGAGAGGCACAGGGGGAGAGGCACAGGGGGAGAGGCACAGGGGGAGAGGCACAGGGGGAGAGGCACAGGGGGAGAGGCACAGGGGGAGAGGCACAGGGGGAGAGGCACAGGGGGAGAGGCACAGGGGGAGAGGCACAGGGGGAGAGGCACAGGGGGAGAGGCACAGGGGGAGAGGCACAGGGGGAGAGGCACAGGGGGAGAGGCACAGGGGGAGAGGCACAGGGGGAGAGGCACAGGGGGAGAGGCACAGGGGGAGAGGCACAGGGGAGAGGCACAGGGGGAGAGGCACAGGGGAGAGGCACAGGGGGAGAGGCACAGGGGGAGAGGCACAGGGGGAGAGGCACAGGGGGAGAGGCACAGGGGGAGAGGCACAGGGGGAGAGGCACAGGGGGAGAGGCACAGGGGGAGAGGCACAGGGGGAGAGGCACAGGGGGAGAGGCACAGGGAGAGGCAACAGGGAGAGGCACAGGGGGAGAGGCACAGGGGGAGAGGCACAGGGGGAGAGGCACAGGGGGAGAGGCACAGGGGGAGAGGCACAGGGGGAGAGGCACAGGGGGAGAGGCACAGGGGGAGAGGCACAGGGGGAGAGGCACAGGGGGAGAGGCACAGGGGGAGAGGCACAGGGGGAGAGGCACAGGGGGAGAGGCACAGGGGGAGAGGCACAGGGGGAGAGGCACAGGGGAGAGGCACAGGGGGAGAGGCACAGGGGGAGAGGCACAGGGGGAGAGGCACAGGGGGAGAGGCACAGGGGGAGAGGCACAGGGGAGAGGCACAGGGGGAGAGGCACAGGGGGAGAGGCACAGGGGGAGAGGCACAGGGGAGAGGCACAGGGGGAGAGGCACAGGGGAGAGGCACAGGGGGAGAGGCACAGGGGGAGAGGCACAGGGGGAGAGGCACAGGGGGAGAGGCACAGGGGGAGAGGCACAGGGGGAGAGGCACAGGGGGAGAGGCACAGGGGGAGAGGCACAGGGGGAGAGGCACAGGGGGAGAGGCACAGGGGGAGAGGCACAGGGGGAGAGGCACAGGGGGAGAGGCACAGGGGGAGAGGCACAGGGGGAGAGGCACAGGGGGAGAGGCACAGGGGGAGAGGCACAGGGGGAGAGGCACAGGGGGAGAGGCACAGGGGGTGAGGCACAGGGGGAGAGGCACAGGGGGAGAGGCACAGGGGGAGAGGCACAGGGGGAGAGGCACAGGGGGAGAGGCACAGGGGGAGAGGCACAGGGGGAGAGGCACAGGGGGAGAGGCACAGGGGGAGAGGCACAGGGGGAGAGGCACAGGGGGAGAGGCACAGGGGGAGAGGCACAGGGGGAGAGGCACAGGGGGAGAGGCACAGGGGGAGAGGCACAGGGGGAGAGGCACAGGGGGAGAGGCACAGGGGGAGAGGCACAGGGGTGGAGGCGGGGGGGAAGAGGCAAAGGGGAGAGAGGCATGGAGGAAAGAGCGCATGGATGGCAGCAGAAAGCAGCATGCTACTGCTGCAGCAGTAGGGCACGAATGGTAGCAGCGACTGCTGCTCTTTCATAATTATGTCTGCGGTAGCAGCAAGGCATCCAAGGCAGCAGCAAGGCATGCAGGGCAAGATGACAAGCGCAGTAGAAAGGCTGATGCATGGCTGCATCAGTGTATGCATGGCAGAAACAGTGTATGCATGGCAATAGATGGAACTGCAGCAGAAACGCCAATGCATGGCAGCATCATGGCACGCACAGATAACGCAGCGGAAAGACCATGTATATGCGGAAAGACCATGTATATGCGGGCATCTTGACTTGATGGAACAGATGGCGAGAGCAGCAGACGCATGGTCGCAGCATGGCAATAGCAGCAGACGCATGGTCGCAGCTTGGCACGTACAGACAACGCAGCGGAAGGACTTCACAAGCAACCCCCTGCATCTTGACGGTTCTGCTCACACGGGGATGGAGGGGGGAGGGAAGAGTGGGGCGGGGGGGGGAGGGAGAGGAGGATGGGAGGAGGGTTTAGGGCGAGGGCAGGGTTGCATGAGGGAGTGCGTGGGGATGGGAGCATGGGGAGAACAGACAGTAGCGAACTGATGAATGCTCACCGGATCTCATGCACCCCTGCGACAGCTCACCTCGTGTAACGAAAAGTAAATGAACAGTAACGAACGGTAACAAACGGGCGAAATCATGCTCACTGATAAAGTACGTAGGGTGGGGCAGTGACGTTCCAAACCGGTTCGCCCCCGCAGCCTTCGGAAGCGAACAACTGCAGCACGTTGCACACGGCGCAATCCTCAAACATTCTCCACAGCACGAGCGCGTCCACTTTCGGCCCCCACACGTCGGACGTGCCGCATTGGTCAAAGCGAAAGGAGACAACGCCGGGCTTCGCGGGAGAGCCGACGATCACCATTGTCTCCACAGAAAGTTGAGCTTTCACCAACTCGCGCGCGGCGCTCACCACCGCTGGCGTGCCGCTCGCGGCGGCGCTCATCACCTCGCTCGCGCTCGCCCTCGCGCTTGCCCCCGCGCTCGCCCCCGCGCTCGCCACCGCCGTGCCAGCGGGGGTAGGAAAGCGCGCTGCGCTCACCACCGGCTTGCCGGCGGAGGCAGGTGCTCCCAACGGCGCTCCGATTCCGTTACTCGTTGCGAGGACGTGACATGATGGGGATGGGAGAATAGTTGAGGCAGACTCTCAAGAGCCGCCGATCAGGTCCGCGCTCACCACCTCGCTCGCGGCGCTCACGGCCTCGCTTGTGGCGCTCAGCACCACCTTGCTGGCAGAGGCAGGTGCTCCCAGCGACACTCCAATTCCGCTACTGCGCTCACCACCGCCTTGCTGGCAGAGGCAGGTGCTCCCAGCGACACTCCAATTCCGCTACTGCGCTCACCACCGCCTTGCTGGCAGAGGCAGGTGCTCCCAGCGACACTCCAATTCCGCTACTGCGCTCACCACCACCTTGCTGGCAGGGGGATTTGCGATCGGAAATCATGCGACCCAGCCTGACGGAAGAATCTTGAAGATTCCGTGAGCTTTTTCACGGGCATGAGTCATGGCGAGGGAGCGAGGCAGGCAGGGAGGGAGGGAGCGGAGGCGTACCGATGAGAAGCGCGACAAGGAGCAGCGCGGCTGCTGCGGCCGCCCCGGAAACGTCCGTCTTCATCCTCGCGTCGCGGGTGCTCGCGGCGAGCGAAGGTAGTAGTAGTAGTAGCGCCGAGGAGGCGTGGCGTGGCGTCGTGACGGTGCTAGAAGCGTGATATCACGAGGTGAAACAACTCCGCGACGAGGTGAGCTTGTCTCAAGATTCGATAGCTTGTCCCAAAATTCGATGACTCTCGGTAGGTCTACAACTACGAATATCATATACTTGAAACGCGGCGCATGTCAGAAATAGTAGCAGAAAGTGAGAACAAGAAAGAGGGTTTGCACTAGCAGGCAGTTGAGTACATATAGGAAACCCTAATTTGGGCTGTACTCGCTATAGAGTACCCCACTGCAGGCTAGACAAGCAACATTCTGACACACCCCCATAGCCAAAGTGGGGTGTAATCAGCACAACAAGCAGACAGGGCAATAGTTCACAAAGATAAGCAAAGCTAGAGGCTATCACAGAGGGCAAGTGAGGAGGAGGAGGGACTATGAGAGGAGAGGACGTGGTGGGCGGCAGCTGAAGCTGCTGGCACACGGCGCAACTGGAGCAACTGGCACACTGGCAACTGGAGCAACTGGCACACGGGCAACTGGAGCAACTGGCTCCGCGGCTAGACGAGCGGCAGGAGAAACCGGCTCACGGGCGACTGGAGCAACGGGCTCACGGGCGACTGGAGCGACGGGCTCACGGGCGACTGGCGCAACGGTCTCACGGGCGACTGGAGCTGCTGGCTTCACGGCGGCCACCCCCCTTCAACCTCCCCCACTGTCCCAAAACTCCCATTCACACACCCCCTGCTGTTCCTCTAGCACTGCACCCACGACACCCCCCTAGCACCACACCCGCGGCTCCCGCACATCCACCCCCCTCAGTGGCAGCTGCAGCAGTGGGAGATGGAGTAGGAGGAGGAGCAGGGGACGGCTCACACACCCGTCACCCCCATACTCGCCACCCCCAAACCCTAACACAGGCAGCACGGGGCAGGAGAGCGTGTAGCAGCGGGGGCGGTGCTCGTGGTGAAGCGGGACGGCTGGGGCAGGCTGTACGGGCCGCGCACGGGCCTGGCGCGGGCCGTACGAACCGCGCGCGGGCTGTACGGGCCGCGCGTGGGCCTGGCGCAGCCCGTAAGAGCCGCGCACGGGCCTGGCGCAGGCCATACGGGCCGCGCGCGGGCCTGGCGCAGGCCGTACGGGCCGCGCGCGGGCTGTACGGGCCGCGCGCGGGCCTGGCGCAGGTCGCGCGGGCCGCTTCGGGCGACGGGGGGCGACGCGCGGGTCCCCGGGGGCGCTGCGACGGGCGACAGGGGGCGACGCGCGGGTCGACGGGGCAGAAAACCGTCGCGCGCCTCGGGGCGCACGGCGGGCAGAAAACCACCGCGCGCCCCGAGCGCTCGGCGGGCTAGAAACCGCCACGCGCCCCGAGCGCGTGGCGGGAAGAAAAAAACGTCGCGCGCCACGGGGCGCGCGACAGACAGGACAGCAGCGGAAGCTAATGGTGGGCCCACAGGCCAGGAGCGTAACCGCTCTGATAGCATGTCAGAAATAGTAGCAGAAAGTGAGAATAAGAAAGAGAGTTTGCACTAGCAGGCAGGTGAGTACATATAGGAAACCCTAATTTGGGCTGTACTCGCTATAGAGTACCCCGCTGCAGGCTAGACAAGCAACATTCTGACAGCGCGCGCATCTCGACACGGCCATTATTGGATACGCCGGGGGGTGGGCGAGACGTTTGGCTACGATGACTGGTGGCGGGTGCAGCTCTCGGGAGGCCCGCCCGCCACCAGCGCCGCGCCACATGGTGACTCGGAGGCACAGGTACGCGGAGCGAGCTCGGCATCAGAGGAATCGCCACACGCGGTGACTCGGAAACACTGGCGCCGCGCCACGCGGTGACTCAGAAACACAGGCGCCGCACCACGTGGTGACTCGGAGGCACAGGTGCGCGCCGCGGCAATAATTCTGTTCTCAGAGCGAGCTGGGGGAGTTACAGGCGATGCCATCGCCCAACCAAATCGCAGCAATCTGCCTAGGCATATCACATCCCAATAGAGCCGTCCATCACAACCAACGAGAGCGTCTCGTTTCCTTTGCGAGCGCAGGAACGCCACGTGGCGTTTCAGAATGTGGATGTAGCGCGCGCCATCGGATGCTTATCTGCCACGATGATTACAGCTTCGTTCACTGCCGCCTTTTCCGGTGCTTCTCGCCATGAGAATTATTGCAACTGCCGCCTTTTTCGGTGCTTCTCGTCATGACGATTATTACAACTGGCGCCTTTTTCGGTATCACGTTACTAGGGAAGGTCCAACCAAACTCGTTCACAGACGTGAGGGAAGGTAAGAAATGGGGGGAACGGACGTGACAAAAACGAAGGGGAGGAAGGGAGGCAGACACATGCTGCTGTAGCCTACCTCCGCACTGGGTCAACTTCATCTTGTCTAGAATTATGCAAGCGTGGCTTTTCAGGTGTACTCAATTCAACAGAACAAAATTTCAAGATTTAGTTACTGCCATTATAGCTTCTTGTTACGAGTGCAATTGAAGTGAGTGAACGAGAATTGCACTATCGAAGCAAAACTGTCCATCGAGCTAAGGCGCGAGCGAAGAATATATAGCGAAGCAAGGAAACGGAAGCAATGGTCGAGGCGAGTGTCGCGAGCGGATAACGTTTTACTGTTGGGTGCCGGTGGCGGGAACAATTATGTACGCAGTAGGCAGGGGCGCGAAGTAAGGAAAAGGAAATTTCCTTACACTACCCCCCCCCCCCTTAAAGAAGCGCTCCTTACGAGAGTGCATGTACATCACGGAAATTTCGGTTGCGACGATAGTCGGTGAGGACAGTGTGGTTTTCGATTCTATCCAGGAGTACCCAGTTGTCTTCAATCGGTATGCGGTCCTTCCAGCGGATCAGAAATTCGATCATGCGGGCCCCTCGTGGGTCACAAACCCGGTTGCTCAATATTTTTTCGGGCGTGATGATTCGCTCTGTGGGCGGTCGTGTCATACAGGCTGGGCGGTTGCGAGGCAGTTGGTTGGTGGATGGGACGTATGGGCGGAGCAGGCTGACGTGGAATGGCGGGCTGACGTACCAGTCAGCAGGGAGGAGATGGGCGGTGACGGGGGTGATCATGTGGCTCATGCGGAATGGCCCGCAATATCGGGGGCGGAGTCTTGGGGTGACAGGCAGGCGGAGGTTATGGGTATCCAGTAGAACGAGGTCGTCGAGCTGGTAAGTGACGGGACGGCGGTGGCGTTCCGCGTTGCGTTTAGCGATGATGTTTGGTTTTTTTATCGCGTCTGCTGCCCGGGTCTGTGCTGCCTGTAAGATTTCTGCAAACTGTTGTGTGCAAGGTACTGGATTGTCGGGATTTGAGGTCATGGGTACTAAGGGGTCTTGTCCGTAGTTCAGGTAGAATGGTGACTGTTGTGTCGAGGCCAATGGGGAGTTGTTGTATGCGAATTCGATGAGTGACAGTTGCTGTTCCCACGTGGTTGGGTCGTCGCATGTGGCTCGGATGAGCTGTTCCATGGTCTGGTTTGTCCGTTCTGTCTGTCCGTGAGTTTTGTTGAGGTATGATGAACTGAACTGTAGTCGCGTGCCGAACTGCTGCCACGGGTTCCGCCAGAAGTTGCTGGTGAATTTTGTGTCGCGGTCACTGATGATGGCCGCTAGTAACCCATGCAGTCAAATGATGGTGGAGTTGAAGAGGCGGGCTGTTTCCTTGGCTGTGATTGATTTCTTGCGAGCTACGAAATGTGCCATCTTTGTCAGCCGATCGACGACGACGAGGATCGCATTGTTCCCACTTGCTCCGGCCGGTAACCTCGTGACGAAATCCATCGTCACCTGCTGCCAAGCACGCTCTGTGGGTGGTATCGGCTGCAACTGTCCTGCCGGTCGCTGTTGTGACGACTTTATGAGCTGGCAGGCGGGACACGATGCCACGTGTCGTTGCATGTCGGTCAGCATCTCGGGCCACGCGAGTAATAATACCGCTGCAGCTGCTGCCGCGTTTTTTCTACTCCAAAATGTCAGGAGGTAACTCCGTCATGTGCCTCCCGTAGCAGTAATTCCCGTAGTAACATGTAGCCCAATACCCAGAGCTGATCGGTGCAGGCTTTTACGTAATACACCCCTTTTGCTGCTGCGAACTGCTGCAAATTTCCTTAGGTAAAGAATGGGTTCGTTTGGTATCCGTGGGCAAATATTCTTGTGAGTAGTGGGCTGGTATGGGCGAGTAGTATGGCGTGGATTGTCAGAA